TCAGTCTGTCTTTCAGAAGTTTTCACATTGTGCTCTTTGCCTCCCATCTCACTTCATTCCCAAACATGGCAAATATCTTGAGAAGGAGACAGCCATGCTTTTGAGGTAGGTCCCACTCCTCAAATAAGCCTTGTCTTCTAGCTAGCTCAAGACCACAGGTGATGATAGTCTACTGGACTGACGCTCCTTAACCTCTCACTAAACTCCAAAATTCAGCACATGTGTGCAAGGTAAAATTAACAGCATTCAGAGCTCCTGAACTTTCCAAATTGTTGACAGCCCCTCAAGACACCCAAAATCTTTGTTGGTTCCTCTTTCCCTCAATAGAATTCCCTTCCATGGGCCAACAACAATCTCATCTCATACTTAAAACTGAAAAATAATCCAAGAAAATAGCTGATCATAGACAGCTAACCTCAGAAGAGCTTTACCCTCTCCAGATTTTTGATGTATGTAAACTGCTTTGCTTACATGGCCTCCCTACATCTTTAAAATGTTTTTCCCAATTTATCTGCCTTTTGCAGGCACACCTAGGTTCAGTTTCAGACCTCTGCAATAAATTGAAGATCTCAATAAAGCAGGTCTAATGAATACTAGTTTGCCAGTGCACATAAAAGTTATGTTTACACTGTAGTATAGTCAATTAAGTGTGCAATAGTATTGTGTCTAAAAAAACCAATGTACACACCTTAAGTAAAAAATACTTTATTGCTAAAAATTGTTGACTATCATCTAAGCTTTCAGCAAGTCATAATCACTGATCACAGATCACGATAACAAATATAATAATGAAAAGGTTTGAAATATTGCAAATACCAAAATGTGACAGAGACAGAAAGTGAGGAAATGCTGTTGGAAAAATGGTGCCAATAGACTTGTTCAGTTCAGGGATAACACAAACATTCCATTTGTAAAAAACACAGTTATCATACAATGGAATATTAGCCTAAAAAAGAATGAAATCTTGCCATTTGCAACAACATGGATAGACCTAGAGGGTACTGTGGTAAATGAACTAAGTCAGACAGAGAAAGATAAATACCATATGATTTCACTTACATGTGGCATCTAAAAAACAAAAGAACAAATAAACAAAACAGAAATAGACTCAAACACAGAGAAAAGACTGGTAGTTGCCGTAGGGAAGGAGAATGAGGGAAAGAGATAAAGATAAAGGAAAAAATTGGTGAGAATATCTGATACCTTGATCTGCATGATGGTTATAAGAGTAGATACTCAGACAAAATTCGTCAAGCTGTACACTAAGATTTACGTATTTTATTGTACATACTCCAATAAAAATATTTAAATGCTAAAGAAAAATAAAGCTAAGGTGCTAATTACTTATTTGAGGGAAAAAATGCAGTATCTGCAAAACACAATGAAACAGGGCACACTTGCATTCTGTTATTGTAGGAGAAGCGATTCTTCCATGACTTACTATATCCTAGTTAGAAACAGAAGCCTCCAAATCTGTAAGTGATTTCTTGATTCTGTTCCCTCCTTATTTGAGAGATTTTATTTTCTCCTCAGCTACAGGCTGAAGGCTAATATACTCTGTTTTCCTCATTTTCTGTAGTCTGAGGAATGGTGGAGGCAGAAGTAGTGTCCTCTGTTGTTTGCTTCTAGTGAATATTTTTGCTCATTTTAACTATCATTTTAAGGAGAGGGACATTCTGTGAGTTGAACTGAACTCAATCCACCTTTTTTTTTTTTCAATTTCATAGTAGCTTTAATATTCTTCCTCAAGTCTCCAAGTAACCCATTACTGTCCCTTATTCTACCATATTTGCAGTTTTCATAGAGAGGTGAGGATACTGCTTTCCAAGTTGAGACAGTCAGGAGGAGACAGATAGTTTGAAAACATTTCTGGGTTCTGCTGTCTCTTCTAAGAATGCATCATGTATTACTATTATATATATATAAGAAGGTTCACTCCCTCTCCTTAGGGACTGTATTTCATTCAAGTGGAAGGAGATCATCTGGAAAACTTCCCAACTGAGTGTGTACCACTAGAGCCTTCACCTGTTTAAGTGTTTAAGTCCCAGGGTTCATTTTCCACATTTTATCCAAATCATTATCCAATTATCACTTCTACTATTTCTCTGACAAGAAAGGTAAAAAAATTAATTATGTACACACTTAGTTGGCTTCTCAGTTTTGGAAACATTAGTGATAATTCTCAGGATTTTGTCAACTCACTAGTATAATATCTGGGGCCTAGGTAGATTAAGTTGCTAAATCATTTGGTGCCTCCTCACTTTGAAATTTTCAGTTTCTTTCTGTGGCCATAGTCTTTGAAGATTACTGTACCTACTCACACTATTATTTGTTGCTTGCTCACAGTAAATATTTTTGCCAGTTTTTTACCATTTTGTAGTCATTTTAATTACCATATAATGGGGATTCTATGAGATGAACTTGGTCCACCATTTTAATTAGGATACACTCAGAGTTTTTCTAATACCCTAAAAGTTAAGTCTGGATGTCTAATTAAGAATTTTGTAACACCACGAACACTGGACTGCCAGAATGCTTATGAAGGTACCAGAGTACAACCAGTCTATTTTTTCATACTACCTAAATCCTAATTTTCACTGTCCTGACTACTTCATGTTTTAGAGATCCAGTATTTTCCTGATCAGCCCACTTAAGTTATTGAGTCAGTTAATGCTAATAATTATCTGACATACATATAACTGGGGTGAAAATATTAGACTCAGAATAAGGAAAAGACACACATATATGACTTTTCAATAGTACCTGATTGCAAAATACTGCTAAACCAAGCTGGAAGGAGTAAAAATAATTAACTTATAAAGATATAATAATGTAAGTATATCCATGTAAGATCTTTTCATAAAAAGATACAAGGGTACTTTGTATAAGTTTCTTGGAAATCAGGGGTAAGGATGAAGAGAAAACATTCTCTAAAGGTTCCTATCAATACCATAAAGGTTCAGGAGGAATCGTCTCATTTCCCAAACAGGGAAATTTATTTGACCATCATAGACAAGTTTCCTATTAAGCTATGGTAGGAAAAAAAAATTGAGGACTTCAAATGAGTATGTTAATGAGCACTTTCCAAAGTGGTTTCATAGGATTTTGTGATCAGAGGAGTGTGTATTTCTATTTGTGAATGAGGAAACTAAAAACTAAGAAAAGTTAACTTGCTCCATATCGTAATGACATGGATATTTCACAATTAGGCATCTGTACATCAAAATTCTAAGTTCCCTAATATTTTCTACGTCTGAGGTACACTTTCCAAGACAGTATTTCAAGTGTAGATAATATATTCTTTCCATGACTAGAAAAGAATTGTATGCTAAAAGAGCAAAAGTAACAGGATGATAAGGTATAAGCTGTTAAACTACTTTTCCATAGTTAGTTCGTAGTAAATACTAGCAACACATTTTTTTATTCTAACAAGTACTCTATCTGGTTATGGTCAGCTGTATACCTGGCTAAGGGAATTATTTCCACGCTTTGTTGTTATAAAGAGTACTGTAGCCGATAATCAAAACACCAATTCCTTTCTCTACTGCCATTTAGATTCAGAGCTATGCACACTAACCCAGATCATCCACTATTAAGCAACAGAAACAATGTACTTACATTCTCATTAGTATTTAACCATGACTTTGCACAGTGGCATAAAATATTTCATGGTAGTTATGAGATCTTAGGTAAGGTATTTTCTCAGGATTTTGGTCTCACTTAAAAATGAGACTAGATTAGACAATCTCTTCTACTTCCCCAAACTTTCTATTTTTGTCTATCCATTTTATACTAATTAGTTGACTCTTACCGATTTCAAAAAAAAAGAAATCTCATTCTTCAGATTTTTTCATGTTGTTCTGACAAAAATAGCTCAATGATCTTTAAATGAAAATATTAAAGTTTGTCAGTAACCTTGGCAGGAAAAAAATTAAAGAATTCATATGCTACATTTCTGTTTCTAATCAAGTCCAAAGGATAGTTTTTTAAAAACTCTTATATCTTGACTAAAAGTACTTATGTTAATACAACATAGAGTTGAAAAATTTTATTCACAGAAAAATCGTATAAAATTCAATGATGTATTTTATTATTCCTCAGGTATTAGTACAAGTACTACATTAATAATCAATAGAAAGACAGGGCTTATTAACATAAACTAAATGGGTCTTAGGTATCTGGATAGAACAGATGGTAACTAAAAGCTTTGCTAATTGAAACTAACTTTCCAAATGGAAATATGAAGAGCATACAAATGAGAGTTCTCAAGGTTGAATCAAGATGCATAATTATTTGATAATTTAAAGATAATTATAAATATTTCATGAAAATTTTGTTGACAAGAATGAATTCCCAACAATACAGGAGTGTCTGACACATAGGAGACACTCAAAAAATGTAGGTCAAATGAATGAGTTAAGACTGAGCTCCTCTTTGAAAAACAAGGCCAAGAAAATTTTAAATGCTTAAAAAACACATTATTGACTACTTACAGGCACAAATGTTTCAAATGAGGACTGGAAAACTTAGTTCAAACCAAATGAAAATATAAAGAACAGCTCTAGTCAATGAACAATGTGAAATGTTCTCCTCAATCTACAGTTAATTATATTCTGCCATTATGTTTTCAGACAGGAACAAAATTGAAATTATAGTCTCTCAGATTCAGTTTTAGACATTAGAAATGTAAATGAGAAAGCCATATCTTGTTTATTTCCCCTTCACTCACTGAACAGATGTTTACTGAACACATCATAGCAGGTGCTTATTTCTTTCTTCCTTTTAGGTCCAGTGGACTGAATAAGCCAGAAACAGATTAACCAAGATAATGTAATATAAAAGGAAATTTTTTGTTTGTCAACTGTCATAATTCATTTTTCACTTAATTCCTATTGTTTCATGTACAATGTCTATTTACAAAAACCAGCTCAGCTTTACATATTTATTACTTCTAAAAATAACAACTTTTATCAGTTTCATGACAGTACATTAAATTGTACCTTAATTTCTTTCTCTTGTATTGACTTACGGATACGTTCTCTTAGGGGTTTCAATGATGAATTACTCACTTGTGTGGGAGATCTATGTCCAAAAAAAGCAAAAATTTATAAACCAAAGTAACTTTTAATATAGTTTTTACCTCTCACCGCCCCTCCTAAAGACAACTGAATCTAGTTGTTTATAATACAATATAAAAGTGTCAGTATTCCTATTCTGAGAGTTATAAATTTTAATTTGCTTTAATCAATTAATTCAGTCACTATATATTTGAGCTTATATTTAAGGTACTGTATAAGATATTGTGAAGGATAGACAGTTGATTCATTCATTGGCCCTAAATTCAGGCATTCTGAAGTTTGAGGGAAATAAGACATTAAAAACAAAAAGGACAAGTGTCATAAAAAAAAAAACAAAGTATAGAAATAGAAAGGTCAAAGAAGGCACTATGGAGAGGAGACACTGAAGGTCTGGAACCAGACAAACCTGGATTCCTCAATGAATTCCTTTTTGGCCTAAAAGAACCAGAGATGTAAGCTCTTTGACTCAAAAGACTATTATGTGAAAATAAAGGATTGTCTTTTTTAAGAAAAACAAGTTGATAACCTTATGTTGACTTGTATTCATATAACACATTGTCCTTAATTTTATCATTTCAATGCAGACCATTAAAAATATACTTTACATGGACTGGCACTTGTCTGCACAATGACAAATGGAAATCCTAAGGTAACTATTAACAACTGAAATGTGTTTGCCCACATGGCTGAGTACAGAAAAATACCTCTTTACAACCATTGTGGGGATTAATTTTGTTTAAAAAATTCTATAAACACAAAATAACTTTCTTTAAGAAAACAGTAGAATTCAATCTGAGTGCAAATTAAAATCATTTATAGTTCTGCCTAAAAACAAACTTTGCTAAGCAGAAATAGGTAAAAGGAGAAAAAACAAAGATTAATTTTCTTAATACTCTTTTCTAGGGTTCCAACACAGGATATAAATAAATAATTGATAAAATTTTTATTGTTTGGAAAACACTTGGTCATTTTTGAAGGTAGAATGTGGAAGAATTATATCATGCCCAGATGTAAAAGAATAATCATGGAAAGCTGGTGAAGAAAATGAGATTTAAAGAAATTAGAGGACAACAGTGAATGATATGATAGATCACTGTAAAGCTTCTCTTTAAAGAACAGAGAAAAGATAGGCATAGGAGACAGAGTGCATGAAGCAATCATGGATGGATATAAACAATTTTAAACTAAAATCTTATTTCTAAAAAGTAGCTTAAGCAGAAAACAGAGAAGTTCACACAGCAGGATGATTTGTAAAAATTCTCTACAATCTACTAAGTACAATTTAAAATGTTTGTTCTAAACTTTTAAATGTTTCTATAAATGAATGTTCATTAATTGGAAATATCACCAATATACTCAATGTTTGATCTAATTGTTTTTAAAACTGGAGAGTATCAATGTATGCCAATACCAACACTAATTTAGTTAAGTATATCAAGAAAAAACAGTAAATGTCATTTCCAATGTAAGTTTGGTGTATTCGCTCTTCTCCCATTCTCAGGCAGAATAGCACAGTCCTTGGAGCAGAGACCTCAGGCTTTAGAGACACTTTTGCAACTTGCTAGGTTAGCTCTTAGGCAAATTACTTCATATCTCTCTCAAGTCTCTAAATCTTCACTTACTAAGTGGGAGTTATTATAAGGGCTGAGATAAAACAAGTGAAAATATTTAGCAAAGTTCACAACACATATAGAAAAGCAAGTAAATATTTCCAAAGCAAAACATAAGAACAACAAAAACAAAATCACCTCACATTCAAATGTTCCATCTCCCTTTAACTTTGTTTTCTCTCTTCATACTTTTTTATAGTCTCCAAGTTTCATGTATTCTCTTATAACTATGGAGCAAATGGGAATTTCTGACAAGGATTCCCACCTGGCCTTGGTAGCACCCATTGTTTGCATGAAGAAGACAAGTAATGACTCTATAGCATCTTACTATGCTGATGGACAGTGATTGCAGTGGGTGTGGGGAGGGACTTGATAATATGGGTGCATGTTGAAACCACAGTGTTGCTCATGTGAACCCTTCATAAGATTGTATATCAATGATACCTTAATAAAAAAGTGTAAATAAGATCACACCAAAAAAAAGAAAAGTATGTTTGCACATCTCTGGGATGTTTACTGGGGACAGAGTGGCTGGTCAGTCACAGGAGTACTGACACAGGGGAGGGGTGGAGAAGAAACACCCATTCTCTCCTCTCCCTGTGTTCCTGGTATGTAATTGGCTGGACATCGGCCAGTCACCAGAGACCCACCCACAGAGTTCCTACTGGTGCCTGGGGCGGGGAAGTACAGGGCCACTGGGAGAGCAGGAAGGGATCTGTGAGAGCTGGGAGCAAGTGGTGTGAGTGTGGGAGCAGGGAGCCTGGAGAGCAGAGAAGGGAAGCCTGGCGGGGGACTGGCAGCAAGATAGAGTAGAAGAGGGACTGAGACCTCCTGCTGTGAGAATAAAAAACCTCTCTTAAGCACCCAGCTTCTTGTCCTTGTCTTTATTCAGTCTCACCAAACTCATAGGGAATTTGTCTCCCAGAGCAACAATAACCAATGAGGTGTTTTTCCAAAAATTCCTTTTATAAACAAGAGTTAACATTCACATACATAGATAGAACTTCCAAATTACTTACCTAAAAAGTATAAGAATAGAAGTCCCAGTATGAGGATATGTGTTTTCATCATCATATAAAAGCTCTGCCTTGTTTTTGGTAGGAGCACTGGCTGCTTCTTCATCCAAAAGAACTAGTAAAATTTTCATGGTATCTCTGCCACAGTATGCAGTTCCATGGTTTATGGCATAAGATTTTGGCTAGAACAAAAAATAATTTTAAGTAAATGTAATAATCACCCCAGCTGGGTCAGTCAGCCACTCTTTTCCACTTCATGTGCCACTGTTTAAATAATAAAATAATAAAAACAGCCATGAGAAATGGTTTTAAGGCATGTGAGTATTTCTCCCTCAAGCATAAAAGAATACAGAAAATAATATCATCAAAGAAAGACATTATGTTCCCATCAAAATAACACCAGGCTCTAAGTCAGAAAATTTTACTACTATCTAGCTATGTGACCTCATCATCATGATTTAACCTCTCTGTGTATTTTTTTCTCTTGTACCAAAGAATGATGGGAATCTGAATACCAACCCCACAGATTGCTGTAAAGGTCCACTCAAATGCGAAAAAATGAGAAACTAGTTGACATTCATCCACTCAGTAATCACTGATAAGTACATACTGAGTTCTAAGCACTGTTCGAAGCAAGCTACAATGGTAAAAACCCACGGTCTCCTTGATAAAGTATGTAAGTAACCAACAGTTGCATTACAGAGTACTGAATGCTATTTTTAACAGAACGTACACATGGTGCAATGCAACACACAAAAGGTAGTGATCAATTTATCTTGAAATCAAGGATGGCTTCAAGGAGGATGAAACACACAGGGGTAGGACAAAGAACAATACTTTCAGGGACCAGGTAGCATGATATGGCTGAAGAAGAGGGTAAAAGAGAAGGAACTATGTGAAAGGAACCTCAGAAAGCTTTGGATCTCAGGCAAGAAATTCTAAATCAGTCTGTTCCAGAGTTAAAATCTCTTGCTTTGTTACATAAGGAAATAAAATAATCCTATTTTGATTTTAGGAAACTGATGGCAATGTGTAATATATTCTAGAGTAAGAATGTTATTAAATCTGGAAATAGGACCACAAATTAAGAGTCTGTAATAGTACAGCTTAGAAATGAAGAAGGTAGTAGCAGTGAACTAAGACAGTAGTAATGAAGATAAAGAAAATGCAGATTAAAAGTGATCAGACAGAATAAAGGAAAATATATGATAATATAAAATTAAATATAGATAAATGTAAGCATAAACTCTGAAGGCACTCTGGCTGGGTTTGATACCAACTTATTAGTAGTATGCGCTATATAACTCTGGAAAAGACACTGAACCTTGCTGTGCTTCAGTTATATCACTGGTAAAATAGGGGTAATGACACTCTCTAACCCATAGGGTTGTTGGACATCATGCTTAGATATTCAAGTTGCCCTTTCTAGGACACCTGTTGTAGCTGTGCCAGCTCTCATCAAATGGTCTGACCTCCTTTCTTATTTGGCTGACTCAGATACCAGGTCAACTACAATGTGTAGCTACACTGGAATTTTGACAAATAGCCTGTCACAATCTTGTGCTTAACATATATTCTTCATTCATATCAAGTAAGTCCATATTATTTAATACTAACTTCACTGAAAATTATTGGATCATAATTCTCAAAAATTTCTGATTTGGTTGAAAACACAAAATTAAGAACCAGTTTGTTTGTATCTTTACTTCTTGTAACAAGAAATGGGTGTGATTGGTGCTCTTAATTATTTGAGTTGTGACAGTTCTTGATTTATACTTATAGTGATAACCTGGTTGTTATCTGAGCCAAAGTAGTCACAGGAAGTGTAATACATGAAATACAAGGGGCAGCCACAAAGAATCCTCCCCATGTCCCACCTTCAAATTAATCTAAAAACATGCAATTATAGAAAAATAGCTAAAAATAATCCCCAAAGGCTATGAATAAATAAATCATAAAAATAAGCAGAAATCTTTCTTCATACACTGGCTATCACACAGACCTAACAAAAAGGACCTTTGTTACTTGAATGATCAAACTGTAACAAATGTATTATAACACACACTCTAAAAATTCTGTTCTACAGCTAAAAACATGGTAGTCAATTTTTCCTATAATACTATAGTTACAGTACCATACAATGTTTGATTACCTATGTAAAAAAAACAAAAATCATAAAGAGGCAAATGTTCTGGGAATCTATAGTTAAAAGATTTCTAAGCATAGGAGAAATTGCTAATGTTTACAGAAGGTTGGCAATGAGGTAGAAAATAAGAAATCATGGAGATGGAGTATCTCTATAAAGGAAAAAATAAACTGTTAAACAGAAACCATTTCTGTTTCTATTCTATAGAGCATCTCATCATGGAGTCAGCACCAGAGAAGCCAGGCCCTTATTTTAAATCTGAGTAAATGGGAAAATAATTGTTTCATAAGAATAATTATCGAAAAGTATAACAAAACACCTTAATATCCACCAAGAATTATAAACTTCTAGTACTATAAGGAATACTGAAGATTATCAACTGCCCTTCCTTAATAAACACATACAATTTGACACAAAGATACTATGATTTACCCAAGTCAAGCATAATCCTACATAATCCTATTGAGAAACTTAAATTTTCAACATCTTGTAACATGAGAAGCTCACTCTCCTGACTTAAGTGGCAATGGTAAAGCATTTCTACAAGAAGTAAAAGAGATAATGTTTTGTATAGAAAGATAATGAAAAATAAAAAGGTCATTACCCGTGCAGGACTGATGTCAGTGGTATTAACAGCTACATCTACTTGTTCAGAATTGATAATATTTTTAATCCTCAAATCCAAATCCTGAGCAACTTCCTCTACTGCTTTATAAAAAGAATCCCTGCTGTTCTGGCCTTTAATCAGCTGCATCTTTATCACTGAGAGTATTCGGCCTCCTGCAATGCTGAAAATAGAAATAAGATGGCCTTTATAATTCTATTAGAAATGACAATATGCTTATAAGCCTGAAAATATAATTCTCAGAGTTAATCAACACTTTTCAAGGAGTATGACTTTGATCTTGTAAATCAAACAGTAACCCATTTAAGAAAAGGATGAGAACCATAAGAAACAAAATTTTAAAGTTTTCCTAAAAGCAAGTCATTTCAATAAGTAATGTCTTCCTTGATTTGAGAGCTGAGGGAAATAATTTAGTTATACATGATATCTGATAGGTGATTCAAATGCAATTATATACATGCAATACACTTAAAATATGCATCTTTAAATACAGCTAACAAAAACACTAGCTATCATTGAATATCTAGAATCCTACATTTAAGCCTAATTAAAATTACTTTAATCTTAAAACCAAATCAATAAGCATTATTATTATCTTTAAATTACAGATGAGAAAGTTGAGTCTTAAAAAGGTTAAATAGCTTGTCTATGAACACACAATGTTCTGGGCTAGAAAGAAGGTGGTAAGTAATTTTAAAACCTAAACTTAATTGTTTTCTTTATACTAAGCCTGAACCTGAATGAATTTGGGTTGCAGTTCCTGATCCAGAAGGCTGACCTAAAAAAATAGGAGAAATATATAGGATTTTGGTACATTAAAATGAAGAAATTAGACATGTCCAACAATAGAAGGGGGCTGTTTTTGAAGCTGGGAGAGCTCCATCCCTAGAGGTATGCCCTGAAAGGCTACACAGTGCCAAATGAGAAGGTGGTGTGCACTGGCTATGGAGCCAGAATGCCTGAGTACACATCACAGCTCCCCCTTTCCAACCTAGGTATGCTATTTAACCTCCTGTGACTTTAAGGTGGCTGTGGGGAAAATGGAATTTCCTATGGCCAGGAACCTCACCTGCCCTAAACTATTTGATGATGTAATTGGCCTACTGTTAGGCTAATACTCCCACACCATTTAGCAATGAGCTATTATTGAATTAGTTACTATATAAAGAGCTGCACCCAATGCTCTAGGTGGAGGAAGAGACAGAGGTGGATTATGGACCTGCAAACTTGTGGATACAGACGTGATTCTAGTGCTCAACCTACTGCCTGGAGAATAAAGCCAGGTATAAACCCTTTTACTCCAAGAAGGTTCTGCTGTCATTTCTCGGTCTCACCAAATCCATACTGAACTTGCCTGGGGCTGAAATCCTCAGGCAAGACAATTGGTGTAGTTGGCAAGAATCACTGTAGACTGAAAAATGTAACAAGATGCACTCATGGGGCCCTTTAAACTCTTCCTCTGAGTAGCAGACCATATTTCCCCCCATGACCTCTGTTTCAGCCTCTTCTAAGTCTGCTACCATAGGAGTAAGCCTCACTTATGGCCTGCCTTAAGTGGTGGGCAAAAATGGTGACTAGGGCCCCAAAGAGGAATGTGGGAGCCATTTGAATCATCACCACATTCCTCATCCCCACAATAAAAGGTTCTTCATCTGGACCATAATTCTTTGGACTACAAATGGCATTTTTCATGCCTAAATTCCATAAAGCTGGTTGGAACTCAGCATATGTCTGTCATCTAGCAGGTAAAGATGGTAAATCACTCTGATTGGGCCATACAGCATGAAGTGTGGCCATAAGTTGGTTGAGGAGATGAAAGGGTGTGCTGGAGGCACTAACTTCTCCTCTGTTTAAAGCCTGCCTGGTGGTAGTAAAGAAAATAAAGATGCAGCAAAACAGTTTCCTCTGGGAGAGGTGAAGGCCCCTCTCCTGGTCATAGAGCACTCTATGCTTCGCCCCTCTATTCAGGCTGAGCTGGTGGATGTGGGCTCCAGTTTCAACAGAAACCCTGAGAGTCATTATCAGCTTGGTTCCTGAGTCTTTGGGATGTAGTGCTGGATGGAACTGTACTGTCTGGATCAGAGATGGGAAAGCTGGCTGACAGTTCATCCTGCCTTGAGGAAGTGATCACAAACTGCACCTCAAACCCCAGGGAACCACTCACTTCTTGACTGGCTTCAGGCCACACTTCATGCTGTATGGCCCAATCAGGGTGAAATTTTCTTCCTCACTGCCCTGTTGCCAGGTTTTTGGAAGAAGTTTCCCTAAAAAACACTGAAAATATGATTGTTCACATTTAAATAGCTGGTCCACTTAGAGATTAGTTAAAAGAAAACTGCAGAGAGATTTAACATTTGATAGCGCATTAGACCAGTGTCTCCCAAATATGCCTAATCACCAGAATCATATTTAGCATTTGTTTAAAATATCAACTCCAGATCCCCCCCTATTGAATCAATCTGCTGAGAAGGGCACTGAATAGTTGCACTGGTTCAAAAGTAACACAGGTGATTCTTAGGATTAGACAAGTTTGGGCAACATTTCATGAAAAAAATTAGATCCTTGAGAAAGGAACCACATTTTACTCATCTTCATACTATCAGTTTACACTTGGCACACAGAAGAAATGATTAATATGATTAATAGGTTTGTTGAATAAATGTACCCTGTCACACATAACAATCTGAAGTTTTTAACAGTAAGACAAAAGATACATATTTTTTACATATTAATTGTAATACAAAAGCAGTTTGGGAGGTTTCCATTTACGCTATGGCAAGTAGATATTGTGGGAGCAAAGCTCCCTGAGCTTGGCAAGAATATGGGGAATCTCTAAGTACCACCCAATCTCTCCCAAAAAAGGGAACAAAGAAGAGCTGGAGTAAAAAGTAAGAAGCTGTGAGTGGTAAACAAGCAGGGTGAATGGAGTTTTCCTGAAGACAAAATCTTTAGTAGCACTGTGATCAGGACACAAAGAGACTCAACCAGACCTAATACCCATCGCCTTAAAGTTTTCCAAAAAGTAGAAGAGGAGAGAAAACTTCCAAACTCATTCTATGAGGCCAGCATCACTCTAACACCAAAACCAGACAAAGACACCACAGAAAAAAGTTACAGACCAATATCCCTGATGAACATAGATGCAAAAATACTCAACAAAGTATCAGCAAACCAAATTCAAAAATATATATAAAAGATCATCCATCATGATCAAGTGGGATTTATTCCAGGAATGCAAGGATGGCACAATAATAAAAAATTCATCAACATCATAAACCACATCAACAAAAAGGACAAAAATCACAGGATCATCTCAACGGATGCTGAAAAAGCATTTGACAAAATTCAACATCCATTCATGATAAAAACTCTCAACAAAATGGGTATAGAGGGTAAGTACCTCAACATAATAAAGGCCATATATGACAAACCCACAGCCAACATCATACTTAGCAGCAAAAGGCTGAAATCTTTTCCTCTAAGATTGGGAACAAACAAGGATGTCCACTCTCACCACTTTTATTCAACATAGTACTGGAGGTCCTAGTCACAGCAATCAGACAACACAAAGAAATAAAAGGCATTCAGAATGTTAAGGAAGAAGTTTAACTGTCACTATTTGTAGATGACCTGATATTGTACATAAAAAACCCTAAAGAATCCACCCCAGAGCTACTAGAACTAATAACTGAATTCAGCAAAGTTGCAGGATACAAAATTAATATGGAGAAATCTGTTGCATTCCTATATACTAACGATGAACTGGCAGAAAGAGAAATCGGGAAAACAATTCTATTCACAATTTCATCAAAAAGAATAAAATACCTAGGAATAAACCTAACCAAGGAGATGAAAGACCTAAACCCTGAAAACTATAAGACACTCTTAAGAGAAATGAAAGATACCATTAAATGGAAATCCCATGGTCGTGGATAAGAAGAATTAATATTGTCAAAATGGCCTTCTTACTTAAAACAATCTACAGATTCAATGCAATCCCTATCAAAATACCAACAGCATTCTTCAGCGAACTAGAACAAATAGTTCTAAAATTCATATGGAACCACAAAAGACCCCAAATAGCCAAAGCAATCCTGAAAAGGAAGAATAAAGTGGGAGGATTATGCTCCCTGACTTCAAGCTCTACCACAAAGTCACAGTAGTCAAGACAATTTGGTACTGGCACAAAAACAGACCCATAGATTAATGGAACAGAATAGAGAGCCCAGATATAAACCCAAGCATATAAGGCCAATTAATATATGATAAAGGAGGCATGGATATACAATGGGGAAATGACAGCCTCCTTAACAACTGGTGTTGGCAAAACTGGACAGCTACATGTAAGAGAATTAAACTGAATTGTTGTCTAACTCCATACACAAAAGTAAACTCGAAATGGATCAAAGACCTGAATCTAAGTCATGAAACCATAAAACTCTTAGAACAAAGCATAGGCAAAATCTCTTGAATATGAACATGAGCAACTTTTTTCTGAACACATCTCCTCAGGCAAGGGAAACAAAAGCAAAAATGAACAAATGGGACTACATCAAACTAAAAAGCTTCTATACACCCAAGGACACCATCAATAGAACAAAAAGGCATCCTATAGAATGGGAGAATATATTTGTAAAGTACATATCCAATAAGGGGTTATCATCCAAAATACATAAAGATCTCACACACCTCAACACCCAAAAAGCAAATAACCTGATTAAAAAATGGGCAGAAGATCTGAACAGGCACATCTCCAAAAAAGAAATTCAGATGGTCAACAGGCACATGAAAAGATGCTCCATGTCGCTAATTATCAAGGAAATGCAAATTAGAACCACAATGAAATATCACCTCACACCAGTTAGGATGCCCAACATCCAAAAGACAAGGAACAGCAAATGCTGGTGAGGATGCGGAGAAAGTGGAACCCTCCTACACTGCTGGTGGGAAATGTTCAACCTTTGTGAAAAGCAATATGGAGGTTCCTCAAAAATCTGAAAATACAAATACCATTTGACCCAGGAATTCCACTCCTAGGAATTTACCTGAAGATAACAAGATCCCTGATTCAAAAAGACAAAAGCACCCCTATGTTTATTGCAGCACTATTTACAACAGCCAAGAAATGGAAGCAACCTAAGTGTCCATCAGTAGATGAATGAG